CGCCGCCGGGGGAGGGGCGGCCGCCGCCCGCCTGCGCTCAGAGACTCACGCAGCCCCAGTCCCGCCAGTCAGCCAACACAGTAGTGCCGTCCTCTCCTCCTCCCCTGGCCCTTCCCCCTCCCCGCCTTTGGCTCGCTCCGCCTTTCTGCCCCCCACCCCCACTTCTCGGGCACGGGCCATTCCCGGCCAGGAAACGCCGTGGCGCCGCGTTGGGCCTAAATCGAGTCTTGCTGCCTCCCGGGAGTGCCGTGCGCCGCAGGCCGGGCCCGGGCCCCGGCAGCGCCTGGGACAAGGTAAGGGTCTGATAGAGAAGTACCCTCACGACCGGGCCTCGGGGAAGGGAAGGGTCACCTCCTTCGTCACCGCTCTCTCTCATCGGGACGTGCGCCTGGCCCTCCCTAAGTTCTTAGCAGGAGGATGCTGTCCCTTCTCATCCCCCTCGCCGCCCTCTGTACACCGTTGCACACCTCTTTTCTAGGGAGAGACCCCCCCCCGGAATCTAGTCGACCCCCACTATCCTTTTCATGGCTTTCCCGGGTCAGGACTCTTCCCCTCCCCCCACGCCTCTTCACTCCTTTTCCTGAGAACTGCCTACTCCACGTTTATCTTTTACTTGAGGATAGGCCTCTCGCTGCCCTCCTCGCAAAATACACAGGCATACTTTTTTTCCCCCCTTCCCTAGCCTCCCCACTCCCGTTCTCTCGGCGTTGTGGTAGCTGATCGCTCTGGGGGCCTCGATCTCCCCTTCATAGTGTTCCTGGACGCCTTCCCTCTCGTTCTCAGATCCCCATCTCAGATGGCTGCTTCCTTTCCCACACTGAAGATATTACCTTCGCCACCCCCACCTCACATTCTTCGGCTCCCAGTGGCGTATTCCCCAGTATCTCTGATACAGCCCCATTGAATTTGTAGGGTTCGAGCCTGGAGTTGAGCCAGATTGTGTCGTTTTTCCTGCCTTGGGCGTGGAGTGCGATCATTTGAGAAGGTCTTTAAAGGCAGAAGAATTGACTCTTTATGAATTCCCTTTCCCTCAGTGTGGAAGCCTGGGATGTGAAGTGAATGGGGGTGGTTAAAAGCCCTGGTTTAAGTAGGTGAATCGCGCGAGAGGGAAAGTTTAACTGTTGGGAAAGCCCCTTCTATGCTAATTTATTCTGTAGAGCTCCTTTGCTTGTCTCGTTTCTTAGGAGTGTAAGTGGTCTTTCCCTTGGGTACTGATGCTGCAGCCAGCTCTGCTGGTCTGGGTCAGGGGTGCGTGTATGACCTGCATTTTCTGCTTTCTCATGTTACTTGTGCAATGTGTTCACCAGTAACTCATTTCTTGCTCAGAGCTCTGGGTTCCATTGGGCTTTGTCTGTACTTAACGTTCATTTCTCCAATTTTCCTTGTGCTCATAGTACTGGAAGAATCCAGGTTCGCTGCTGATTTTCTTCATCACTTGACTAAACAAGTTGTTTAATGACATATTTGTGACCAAGGTCATATTTACATTTCTTTGTTGGGCAGATGTTACATAGCTATACTTTTGAATGGGCAGGAGCCAGCTGAGTTTAGAATAACAAGCTTTTCAAGAGAA